GTAACTGTATTAATGGTGGCACAAACCAAGAAAACACTTGGCACTGGTTACCAGATGAGAAGACCATCCTCAAGAGACATGTCTCCAGGTTCCCCAGCACCATGAAGACAGAGCCCTCCCGAACTTCCTAAGTTTTTATTTGCCAGAGAATACACAATACAGGAATATCACTGCAATTGTTACACAAAGCCTCCTTAATGTGTATCTTACCTCAACCCTAAGCAACTCCCCAAAAGAAAAGGGCCAGTCTGCCTGGCATTTGCTAAACTGGCATTTACCTACTGAAGATAAGCAAGTAACTGCCCTTGCAGAACAGACGTAGTAATTTCTACAAGTGCTGAGGTTACTAGAGGTCCAGTGGTTTAGGAAATAAGGGAGCTCACAGTACACACTGCTGGCTACCAGGCTTGGCAGCCACCATCTCGGAATGCAGAGCAGTAAGCCATATGATGGGGCTGTTACAAGAAGAGTAATCCTGCACCACCAGTTAAACAGGTGTGCTGTCACTCGTTACAGCGCCACACGAGAAAACACATTCAACTGTACTTCCGCTTGGGCAGAAAGAGGATATGCTTAAAAAAACTGGAAAGATTCCTATGACAGCTCCCTAATTTGCCCACCAAAGACAAGCACCAGAAGTCATTTCCTCAGATCTAGTCCCTGCTGTAATTAGAGCTCACAGTTCTACTCCATTCATTTCAAGCAGGAATCCTGACCTCAGCTGCTGAACGCTCAGCAGCAATTAAGACGGCATGCTGATCATCTCAGTTCTGGCTTCAGAGATTCTGTTTCCCAGTCCTTTCAAACCCTCCCTTTCCCTCCAACTTTTCAGTTTCCAACTATTTGCAAAAAATACATTATTATTATTCAAGATATTCCATACGAGATTGTGCCAGCATAACTGGTATTCACTAAGACAGTACATGTAAGTAAAATATATTGTCTGAGTATGCAATGATTCACTATCTACTGGATCGCTCTCAATTTTCTTACATATGGATCCCTCAGCAACTGCAAAAATCAACTTTAAATAAAGTTGTTGTTTCTGCCCTGCAGCACTTACCTCTGATTCAAGCTACACCACTTCTGGAGTGGTTCCCAGACAATGCATCAGCCTCCTGAAAGCACAGATTCTGCCCAAAAGGTGTGTCCCCAGAACAGGCAGATTTGGCATGTATAAGTAATCCTGACAAACATGTCTAGGTCTAGTCGTAGTTACCAGCAGTTTTTCAAGAAAGGAACCACACTTGCAGCCAGCCATGTCTCTTTATTGACTTATTCATACATTCAAATACTTTACATTCACAGACACCAAAACTACAGCTGGAGTTCCCACTCCCATTTTCCAGACTTCAAAAACTTACCCACAGCTTCTGCGGCCCAGGGACACTCACTGCAAAAACCTCTCCAACACTCGGAGAGCAGAGGGGCTGTCCCTGTCGGGGCAGCAGCCACCCAACTACCAAAACCGTACTGTGAGAGCTTCAGGCTTAGTGACAGCCCGAGGAGAGGAGCAGCACTTAATGAGATCCTAATTGTATTTGCCTCTATTAAGCAGTCAAGGCTATTTTTAGGCACAGAAAGCTGGGTTCCAGCCCTACTCCATCAAGATTAGATAGACTGCAGAAGCTCTCATTAACGCTTCAAATTTTAACTTTGTTTAAAAATCGAAGTAAAGACCTAGCCTAAAATTAGCTTTTACTAGCTCTGCTTAACATTCAGAAATATTACTGCTCCCAAAAGGCATCAATTCCAGATGATTAAACACATCCACCCTACTCTAACTGAAAATTAACAGGTTTAGACAGCTACTCCTAAATCCACATGTGGAATTTAGCCCCATCTTCTTTCAAGAGGGTTTTTCTCCTGTAAAAACAAGTTTGAGGCAGTTTAATACTGCTACAGGAAACACAAACTGCAATCATCACCAAACAGCAGGACGCTTTCCCAGAAGTTGTAAAGCTGCTCTGAAACAAAGCTGTTGGTATTAACTTCCAATATGCCTTGTTCCTACAGCTGCAGTTTTCTCTTAGTACTCACATGCTTATAAAAAAAGACACTCCTCTTGCCCAGGATATCCCTGACAAATCTGTGCACTTAGATGCTTCTAGTTTGGCAGGCAAAGTACTGGCAGTGTGTTTTCTATGCTAAGAATAGAGGATTATGTTTTCTAATGTCTCTACATTCAAACCCAATTCCTTCTGGTCACATTAATGTACTTGATTACACTTTTCTGTCCCGAAAACACATAAAAATGAAGCATGCCTTAAAATAAAACACCATGATACCTTGATTTCAAAGTACAAGTCACAGCAGAGTAATTGTCAAACATAAATTATCAAATCGGTATTATTCCTGCTCCAAATCTCACCTCCGAAGAGCTTATTAGGCACAGCCAAATACTTTTTGGGAAGAGAATCTTTAACAGCTACGTCTCCATCCTTTCAGCTTCTGTGCGCCTGAGGAATTAAAAAAGAAGAAAAAAAGTTTTTTTTAAACTGGGCTGTAATAGTTTACTGGAAGGGAAAAAAGGGCAGAAACCTGAAAAACCAAACAACAAAAATACAGCCAAAAAAGGGGGAGGCTAACCCCATAGTATAATCGGTTTGTTACTTGCCACAGTCAACGACTCCTACCCACGAGAGGGTAAAAGTTTTGCCAATTAGCAAGGCCCTGCTCTTCCATGTCTAGGAAGGGAGTGAGCCACAGACGGCAGCTCCCATGGAGTCATGGATCTCTGCTTCCCCCACCACCGCTCTGGCCGCCACGTGGCGGCCGCCATTTTCCCTCCCTCATGTGGGCCCCGGCCCCGCGCGGCCAGCTCCCCCTCGTCCTCCCTGTTACGCAGCCCACGGCTTCACGGAGCCTACCTTCTATCTGTTACGCTCCGCTCCTTTGCCGCCGTGGAGGAGAAGGCGCCCGATCCGCGAGCAGCGCCGCCACCGCCCCTTCGCCTTCTCCCTTCACCCTTCCCCTCCGCTTCCCGCGGCCGCCGCTCCCCCCTCAGTGCCAACGGCCGCGCCGCGCGCCCCCCGCTCCCCCCTCAGCGCCAACGGCCGCGCCGCGCGCCCCCCGCAGCGCCAACGGCCG